CTTGGCGAAGGAGACGTTACAGTGGTCCTTCCGTCCGCCATTTTGTTTTATTCTTTGTCTCGGAGTAACGGAACTTTCAAGGAAGCGATAGACAGTACTTATTCCGCTTTATGTTATTATTCCTTTATTAGTCCATAAGAACGTGTAGCGTAGTAAGGAAAAAAACTTACTCAACGTGTTAACTGCAGCCGGCGAGCTCTAAATCTTCTTTAGCCGCTTGATCCCCCAAACTTTGAATCAAAGCCTTTGATCTTCTCTGCGTCGCCTTGCAAATATTGATGTTCTTCTAATTCAGTATCCTGGGCGCATAACCGGATAGAATTTGGTAAGGCAGTGGATTTATAACGGAAAGAACCCAGATTATACAAAAAAGGGGCTGTTTATTATTATGTGACTTGCTCGGTGTACGCTGAACAACGATAACTTAGAGACTAGGGACAAGATCGTAATAACAACAGAATTTAGCTAGCGACCGACACGTGCACAGTCTTACATGCGTGAGTCATAAGCACAAAAACAGTTTAGTGTAAATATACTGATGTGTGATATCTCGATTAATAGCGTCAGCATTCCAACAGTATACAAAAGTTGTACCTAGAGAAATTAACAATGCCCAGTTAGGTGGTCGGTACGCTAACCAATGGAGCAGAGTAGCCGTTGGATAAAGATGCTCAATGATAATATATATCCTATTGCTGTTCTAGAATGTCAAGGGACTGGCCCATTATCGCTCGAGGTAATAACTGTTGACGAAAGCATACTAAGTATAGCCAACATCAGAGTAACTTAGAGGTTGGACTAAACCATTCCCTTCTAACTTAACATTAACTGCAATTCTGGAATAAACCATGTATGTTACGGTTATGGCTACAGATACTTGCAATTGAAAGTACGGTACTTTGTACGAAAATCAACGGGGCACTGTAGCCGCGGAATTAGCCTGCTCAATGATGATGTTAATCCTATAGCAATTCTAATATGACAAGAGTCATATCCGTAATAGCTCGACACTCTGTCAATTGACATAAAAGCACTGAGTACAGCCATCGTCACAATGCTTCAGACGCTGGATTAATCTGTCCAGTGATGAATTTTATTGCACAGCACTTCTGAAATAACCAATGTATACAACAGCCATGGCTAGATATATTAACTATTTCCAGTAAGGTAGTTAGCACACTCACCAACGGAGCCATGTGACCATTTAATTAATCGATTCAGTGATGACATATATTATATTGCAATTCTGGAATGACAAACGACTGGCCCTTTATCTCTCGTGACAACAACAATTGACGAAAGAGTACTGAGTAGAGCCATCGTCACAGTTCTTTAGCCTTTGGATTAATTTCTTCGCTTATAAATTAATTTTAACGGCAATTCTAGAATAATCAACTTATAGTACATTTATAGCTAGACGTATTTAAAATTGTAGCTGCGGATCTCAGTACATCCATCAACAGAGCAATATAAACGTTGAATAGGCTTGTTCAATGATGATTTAAATCCTATAGCAATCCTAGAGTGGTAAGAGGCTGAACAACTACCGCTCGAAGTATTAACACCTGACAACACCGTACTAAGTACAGTCGTCATCATAATGCTGTAGCCTTTGTACTTATTTGACCACTGGTGACTTTAGTTCCGCAGTATTTCTGGAAAAATTAATGCATACGTCAGATACGGCTGGAGTTATTTATAATACACAGCACCGTAGATGATACATACACCAATTGAACACTATATCTGATTGACAAGTCTGTTCAGTGATGACTCAGATTCTACTGTAATTCATGAAGTCAGTGGTCTGACCTATTACGTGTCTAGATATTAACAAGTGACGGAACAGTACTGAGTACAGCCACCATCACAGTACTGTCGCCGTTGGATTAATTGGACCACTGATTATGTATATTAAAAGGTAAGTCTAGAAGAAATTGTGATTTCGAAGAAATTGCGGAAGATTACGAATGGTACGAGGGGCAAAAAGTTTGTTACGCCAGAATGCTACTTCGTGGAGCTGAACAAATATTCATTCGGTATGCAGGCATGGGTGGATCGTGGCCAAATTTAAGAGCTAACTTATATCAGAATTCGGACATACGTGGGTAACAGCTCGTTGCAAGGACAAAGTTGAAGACGAAACTGAGGACGAAATTGAAGACGAAGTTGAAGACAAAATTGAGGACGAAATTCAGGACGAAGTCGCAGACGAAGTTGTAGACGAAATTGCAGACGAAGTTGAAGACGAAGTGGACGGGGAGACCGACGCGATACAGAAGAGGAACGCAGGATCGAACGGGTTGCCGGGAGCATGCGACGGTGAAGAGATGCAGGAAGCGGTTCCGGCAGTCGTGATAGGAGGAAAGACGGTAGACGAATATGTATATGAAGACGATTGGAAGAACAAGAGCGCGAGCGACGATGAAGCCGACGATGAAAACGATGACGAGGACGATGGAAAGAACGATGGCGCAAGCGACGGAAAGGGCAACAATGAAAACGAGAAAGAAGACGAGAGAGAAGATCATGAGGCCGAGGGCGACGATGAAGACGAAGACGAGGACAATGGAGAGAACGATGGCGCGAGCGACGGGAAGGATGGCGATGAAGACGAAGACGAGGGCGCACACAAGGTCACAAATAAGGACGAAGGCGAGAAGGGTATGAGGACAATGAAAAGACCGATGGCGCGAACGACGATGAAGACGAGAACAAAGACGAGAACAAAGACGAGAGCGAAGACTAGAACGAAGACGAGACCGAAGACGAGAACGGAGACGAGAAGGAAGACGAGAACGAAGACGAGAACGAAGACGAGAACGAAGACGAGAACGAAGACGAGAACGAAGATGATGAGGACGAAGACGGTTGGAAGAACAAGAGCGCGAGAGACGATTAAGCCGAGGGTGCAGATCACGCGGACAAGGGCGAAGACCGCGAGGCCGAAGGTGAGAGCGAGGATGATGGGAAGGGCGATGGTGCGAGCGATGAGTGGAGCGACAACGAAAACGAAGATGGGGACAAAGACAAGGATGAGGAAAAGGGTTAAGACGAGGAGGCTAAGCACCGGGACAACTATCAGCACCCGGAGAAGATATTGGTTCAGCGACGGGGAGAGGTGCAGAATGGTTTTTGACAGTGGTCGTCTCCGACCAAATCGGGTGTCTACGACAATGTCAATTTGGCAGGGAAATTGGACAATGCTTTTTTTTTAAAGAAGTGCAGCCGAAAACGGGGACAGTGTTAGCGGAACGTCTGAGGACAGATGTTCTAGTCAGGAGGGCCGAGTGTGGTATCGCGGGATGAGCGTGTTATCTAGAGTGCGTGCGAAAGGATGAATGATCGTGCGCTTGGATCGTGTGAACGGGATGTTTATGAATGTATCGGATGAAAGTGAAGAGTGGCTTTAGGAATGCGTTTGATTGTTTGGGCTAAGTGACCCGCTGAGGGTAAGATTGCAAGGAGTGCGTGGGAAAGTGTGATTGGAAAGAGAGAATAGGTATGAAAGATGATAGAATGGATGGTTTTAAATGGGGATGCAAGGGCGTGAGTGGGCAGAGAGAGAGAGAGAGTGTGTGGAGTCGGTCGTGGTACGTGTAGTATAGGAGAGTTCAGAGAGAGAGAAAGAGAGAGAGAGAGAGTTGTAAAAAAAGGTGTATTAGTGTTGCGAAGTATAAACGTGTTGTTAGGTAATTGTCTCGTTGTAGTTATAAGAGTTTAGTTAATAGATAGATTATATTCGTATTCTTTATCGTCACCGCGCATTCTGTATTACATTTTAAGATTAATAAATCGTAGTAGTTGTACATTATTCGTGTTAGCACTCCCCTATCTCTACATATCTATAACTGTAAGTTCGTTTCTTAGTACATCCATCAACAGAGCACTGTAGCCGCAGGATTGATCTGTTCAAAGATGATTTAGATTCTATTGCAATTCTAGAATGACAAAAGTCAGATCCATTGCCGCTCGAGACTTTAACAACAAATAACGCATTGCAAAGTACAGCTACCATCACAGTACTGTAGCCGTTGGATTCATTCGTACGCTCATGGTTTAAGTGCTAGAGCTGTTCTAGAATTAACTATGCATAGCACGGTTATGGCCACGGACATTTACAATTGACAGTAAGGTACTTATCACATCTACCAGTGGAGGGCTCTAGCCGTTGAATAATCCTGCTCGCTGATGTCCTAATCGCATTAGCAATTTTAGAATGATCAATGGATAGACCATATATCGTTCCAGGTTTTGACAATTGAAAAGACAGTACGGAGTGTAGTCATATGCGCAGTGCTATAGCGTCTGAATTCGCCTATTCTCTGATAGTATCAGTTCTTCTGCAGTTGTAGGGTAATCAATGGGCAGAGAAATTGTCGCAGGAGGAATTGACACATGTCAATAGATTCCTGAGTAAAACCACCAACAGAGCTCTGTAGCGCCTTGACTATTCAGGTTACTGATGATCTAAATTCTATAGCAATTTTGGAACGACAAAAGGCATGTCCATTATAGCTCGAGATGCACACAATTGACAACAAAGTACTAAGAACAGACACCATCACAGTACTGTAGTCGTTGGATTCATTTGCGCAGTGGTGATTTATATACCAGTGCAATTCCAGAATTATCAATGAATAGTACGGCTATGGCCACTGACCTTTGGAATTGACCGTACGGTACGTGGAACATCCACCAATAGGGCTCTCTAGGCGTTGGGTAAACTTGTTCAACGATGTCTTAAGCCCAATAGCAATCTTTGAACGGTCAATTGAGAGATCAGTTATCTGTAGTTATATTGACGAATGACAATACACAACTGAATGTAGCCATCTACACAATATTACATGCGCTCCATTAACCTTTCACTGCGTGACTCACTGCGTTAGTCAGCAAGTGCAGAATGACAATGTATAAATTTCTTATTGTTAGATACAATTACAAATAGGAGTTCGGCACATAGTACGACCACCAACACAGTACTGTTCTGGTTGGATTAATCACACCTTTGATGCAAATTCTGTAACTACTGTAGAATGGCAAGGGGCACTTCCATTATCGCATGAGAAGTTAACAACTGGCATATCGGTCACGAGAACAGACTTCAACTCAGTGGCACAACCGATGGACTAATTCTAGAATGACAAGAAACAAATCCATTACCTCCAGCGATATCAGCAATTGACAACACGGTACTGAGTATAGACTCCGTAAGGGTGACGTGGATGTTGCACTACTTTCTTCATTGGTGATTAAAAATCGGCCGCAACTCTGGAATGTATAGGTGTGCCATGTCTAGAGGTATTTACAATAGAGAGTACGGTACATAGAGCATCCACGAACAGAGCGCTGTAGCCGTCGAATTATTCTGTTCAATGATGACATAGCCACGTAGCAATTCTGGAACCATTGTCCGATAGATCATATATGATTATTGATATTGACAAACGGCAAATCAATAATGGGTGTAGCCATCTACGAAATGCAACGGCAATTGAATTAATCTGTTCGCCGATCATCCAAGTAGGTCAGCAGTTGTAGAATTATCATTGGATACAGCAGTCGGCCCTGGTGATAATGACGTATGTAGTAGACTGTACTGTGTACAGTCATCACTACAGTTGCGTTGCCGTTGTCTTAATTTGTGTACTGGCGGGTTATATTTCACAGGATTTCGAGCATAATCTCTGTATAGACTTGTTATCGCTAATGACACTTGTAATCGTCAGTTCGGTGCACAGTAAGTCCACCAACGGAGCACTGTATAGGTTGGATTAACCTGTACGCTGTTGATCTTAATTCCACAGCAAATATAGAATAATAAACGCGCAGTACGGTATTGGCTTGGGATACTTGTAATTAAGAAAACGGCATTCGCTGCCTCCACCTACAGAGCACTGTAGCAGATATATTAATATGCCCAATGATAGTTTAAACTATACAGTATTTCCAGATGTATTAATGGATACATCACATATATTTAGTGATATTGACAAACGACTATTCAGTACTGATTGTAGCCACCTTCGCAGTACTGTAGCCAATTAGTTCGTCGTTTCGCTGACCATCTAAGTTCTTCCGCAATTGTAGACAGATCAGTAGATACAGCAGCTGCTGCTGTCGACATTGGAATATGTCAAAGCATTACCGAGTGTAGCTAACATTACGCAACTGTAGCCAATTGATTAATTTAGTCTCTGACGATTTAACTTTCAGAGCAGTTCTAGAAATGTCAATGAATGGACCAGTTATGTAGAGAGAGACTTGCAGTCTTCAGTACGGTACTTGGTATATCCACGAAGAGGGCACTGCAGCCATTGGTTTAATCTGTTCAGTCATGTAAATCCTATAGCAACTCTGGAATGACAAAGGTAGGCTCATTGTGAGTCAAGAACTTAGAAACTGACGAAACAGCACTGAGTACAACAATCATAACAGTACTGCAGCCGTTGTGCTAACTAGTTCACAGGTCATTTAACTTCCGCAACGGCTGTAGGATAAGCAATGCATTGATCGGCTATCTCTCTCGACGTTAGCAATTGACGACACAGTACAGAGCACTACTTCCATCATAGTATGGTAGCCGATTTAATTATCTGTTCACTTATGAAGTGAATTCCACAGCGACTATAGAATAAACAGGGTAGGGATAATTTTGTCTGGAGGTTTATACAATCTACAGTACGCTGCTTTGTCCATTCACCAACAGAGCACAGTGGCCGTAGGATTAATCTGCTCACTGATGATCTATTCTCTATAGCGATTGTAGAGTTATCAACCGATAGATAACACATATTCATGACTTTGACGAATGACAATACATTACTGAGTGCAGCCATCTACAGACTACTAAAGTCATTGAGTTTTTCTGTCCTATCATCGTCCTAGTTGCCCAGCAATTGTAGAATGTCCAATGAATAGGGCAATTGTTGCTGGAGGCAGTGACATATGTCAAAGAAGTTACGAGTACAACCGTCATAACTGCACAGTAGCCGCTGGAAGAATATGATTGCTGATCATTTATATTGAACCTCAAATCTAGTATGATCGACGTACGCATTAGTTGCTCCTAGAGATGTTTAGAATTAACTGTACTGTGTTTGGTACGTCCACCAACGGCGCGCTGTAGCCATTGGACTAATATATTCAGTGACGTAAATCATAAATCAATTTGGGAATGACGAAGACCAGACACATTATCCCTCGGGATACTAGCAGTTGACAACACAGTAATGAGTACAATCAATATTAGGGTACAATAGCAGTTGGATTAACTTGACGTTTGATGGTTTAAATACTACAGCAACTCCAGGTTAATCAATGTATAGAAGTGCTGTGTCTAGAGGTAGTTACAAATAGCCGGACGGTACCTAGTGCAACCACCAATAGATCACTGTAGAAGTTGGATTATTCTGGCTGCTGATGATTTAAACCATGCAGCAATTCTAGAAAGATCAATGTATAGATCAAATATCGATAGTGATATTGGCATTTAACAAATCATTATTGAGGTTAGGCATCAAAGCAGTACCATAGGCATTGAATTTATCTGTGCACTGATAAACTAATTTCTTCAACAGTTGTGGAGTGCTCAATGGATGGAAGTATTGCAGTTGGGGACAATGTCATATATCAATAATTTACTGCGTATAGCAGTCATCAGGTCACTGCAACGGTATGATTGAACGGGTCTCTGGTGATTCCAATTCTATAGCAATTCTAGAATGACAGAAGGAAGACACATTGCCGAACGAGATATTAGCAATTGACAAAATAGTACTGCGGCCAGCCATTACCAAATTACTTCAGCCGTTGTATTAATGTGTCCACTGGTGGCATAAGTTTTACTACAATTCTAAAGCGATCATCGTACGGAACCGTTACGGCAAGAAACAGTTACAGTTG